TTTATATAAATGACCACATACAAATCCTTCTGAATATACTAGAAAATTTCAGTCTTCTGGTGATTAATGTGAGCGAGCTCCATTCCTACAATCTTCCCTCAGATCCAGAACACCAAGGCCTTTGGCCTGTTTGCTGCCTCGCGTCTCAGGCTCCACCTTACCGCCGAGGCTGAGGATTCTCCGAACACAGCCGCTGCCGCAGCGCCGGCCTCTGCACGGAGGACGGCTAAACAGAAAGCGGAATCAAATTCTTCTCGTGAAAGCTACACACATTGTCTTCAGGTTCAACAACAGAAAAGCAACAAAGCTTCCAGAAGTCTCTGCCAGGGTCCCGGCTGAAGTGGGCCGGGACAAGAGGGGCGCAGGGCAGAGCGGGAGCGGGCGAGGCCGGACACTCTCTCACCCGCCCTCCTCACGGCCGTCCGCGCCTCTGCCCAGCCGTTCTCCGAACAGGCGGTCACGGCCACCGTGACATGGGAGCAAGAGCCGCTCCCGTCGGGACACACACGGACGCTCGCACGGCCAGAGACGGCGACTGAGCACGTCGGAACCACGCACGCGCCCCCCACCCCGCACGACGGCCACGGGCTTCGGCGTCACGGCAGGGGCGTCACGGCCGGCGGCGCAGGGCGGCAAACAGCCAAGACAGAAACGGAACCGACAGTTACCGCCACACCCTACGCGTTTTCCTTAGAAATGACACCGCGAGGTCTCAGAAAGGTCACGTTATCCCCTTCGAAATCTCGTCGACAGCCACCTGCCCCCCGCGGCGCCCCCGGAGCTGCAGACAGCGGGGCCACCGCTCCCGGCTCCCGGCGACGCTCCCGGCGACGCGGTTAAAGCGACGTGAACACCAACCGCGCGCTCCGCTGAAGCCACGTGACCGGCTGTGCGCGGCGGACGGAAAACGCAACTTCTCTTGAGGTTCAGGAACGAGAGGTTCGTGGTCATTTTCATGTCTTCAGACTTTACAAAAAAGGCCACTTTATAATTTAAAAAAAAAATACAAAAACAAAGGAAACCCTAAGACTTTTATCTGGGGACAGAGAAAAACAGGAAACAAACGAGCAAACGCGGGGCAAGATTACGCTGAATAAGCAAAGACTGAAGGAAAAAGCCGTGAAAACGAGGGGCCGCCCGCGCGGGGGGTGACGCGGAGGAGGGGCCGCCCGCGCGGGGGGTGACGCGGAGGAGGGGCCGCCCGCGCGGGGGGTGACGCGGAGGAGGGGCCGCCCGCGCGGGGGGTGACGCGGAGGAGGGGCCGCCCGCGCGGGGGGTGACGGGGAGGAGGGGCCGCCCGCGTGGGGGGTGACGGGGAGGAGGGGCCGCCCGCGTGGGGGGTGACGGGGAGGAGGGGCCGCCCGCGTGGGGGGTGACGCGGAGGAGGGGCCGCCCGCGTGGGGGGTGACGCGGAGGAGGGGGTGACGCGGAGGAGGGGCCGTCGGGGACTAAGGGCCACGACGCCTGCGTACACAAGAAGGCGCCACAGGTCGCCGTGACAAGAACACACCACCGGGCAGAGCTGAAAGCGGTGCCTCATCAATTCAAGGTTAAAACAAGTTTTAGGAGCGGGGGCGCCTGGGGGGCTCAGTCGGTTGGGCGTCCGACTTCCGCTCGGGTCATGATCTCACAGTTCGTGGGTTCGAGCCCCGCGTCGGGCTCTGTGCTGACAGCTCGGGGCCTGGAGCTGCTTCGGATTCTGCGTCTCCCACTCTCTCTGCCCCTCCCCCAGTCACGCTGTCTCTCTCTCTCTCAAAATTAAACATTAAAGAAAAATTTTTTTTAAAGAAACAAGTTTTAGGAAGGAGATTTAACCGAGTCACAAACTCACCGAAGACCCAGACGCACCTTTTCTGAAGACACACAACACGCATTCAAATGAGGAGCTGTGCAGCGCGTACCCCCTACCCCGGTGGACTAGCTACACTTTCCGGAAGTAAAACCCCACCTCAGGCGGCCCAGCCTCCTCAGCGTTCCCGCCCGATCCCACAGGGGGCGGCCCTCCGACACCCCCGCCACCAGGCGCCAGGAAGCGGGGCCCCGCCCCGGACGCCGGCGGGCCAGGCCCTGCGGGCACGGCTGCCGCCCCCACGCTGGCTGCCGGACTTCCCCAGCGCGGCGGGAACACACTTCAGGGCGGCTGCGTGGCTCCGCCGCTTGAGCGTCTGCCCCCCGGTGTCCGCTCCGGTCACGATCTCACTTCCGTGGGACGGGGCCCCACGTTGGGCTCCTTGCTGAGTGGCCGGCCCGCAAGGACCCTGCTTGGGATTCTCTCTCCACCGCCCACCCCCCCACTCGTGCATGCTCCCTTTCTCAAAAATAAAAACTTTAATTAAAAATATATTTTATATCACTTTATACATAATACGTATATGTCACTGAAACAAAATATTTCATGCAACTATACTTATTTTCCTACTTTCCATTTTATTCTTTTTTTTTTTAAACCTCTGGTCACTACCGGCTTACTGTTTCTAATCTATCAAAAGGTTACATGGGGCGCCTGGGTGGTTTAGTCGGTTAAGCGTCCGACTTTCGCTCAGGTCATGATCTCGCGGTTCATGGGTTCGAGCCCCGCGTCGGGCTCTGTGCTGACTGCCAGCTCAGAGCCTGGAGCCTGTTTCGGTCTGTGACTCCCTCTCTCTCTGACCCTCCCCTGCCCTGCTCACGCTGTCGCTGTCTCTCTCTCTCTCTCTCTCCTAGAAGTAAATAAAACATTAAAAAAAAAAAGGGGGGGTTACAATCTAGAGTCTTAATAACACCACTCCCAGGCAACAATCTTCAAAGTGGGGAACATGTACCCCTGGAGGCATGCAAAGATTTTCCAAGGATTCACTGACACATATCGTCTTAAAGGAATCAACTTCTAGATCCTCAACTTACATAAATATTTTTCCTAAAGCAGAGTGATGATTAAGTTCAGGTTCTTCGTGTTCCTCTTCCCTTTTCTCGACACCCTTCTCCTACTTAACAAAAGATGTGCTTCCTAAATTGCTCTACACGTCACTGCCCTGTTGTGTAAAAACTCCTAGGTCATATTAAACCAGAGGGACAATTTAAAATAGCAACATCATGGGGGTACATGGGGGGCTCAGTTGGTTGAGTGTCCGCCTTCAGCACAGGTCATGATGTTGCGGTTCGCGGGTTTGAGCCCCGCGTCGGGCTCTGTGCTGACAGCTCGGAGCCTGGAGCTGCTTCAGGTTCTGTGTCTCCTTCTCTCTCTGCCCCTCCCCCTGCTCATGTTCTGTCCTGTCTCAAAAATAAATAAACTATTAAAAAAATTTTTAATAAAGTCTTTTTAAAATAAAGACCTATATTTCTAGTACTTTTTCCACTTCATTATTTTTTAAATGTGTAAGATATTTATGGAGTGATCAGCTATGCACTTACTAATAACTGTAATGATGACTCAGTACAGAAGGAATTTACACGTGTATCTTTTTTATAGTGAATCTGACCAAACGTTCTTTCAATGGCTTTCAAGCACCAAATATTACCAGTGGTTCTGAAAGTGCGGTCCCTGCCCCAGAGCATGAGCATCACCTGGACATGTACTAGAATGTAAATCCCAGGACCTCACAAACCCAGTGGATCAGAAGCGCTGGGGGTGGAGATCAGCAATCTGTGTTAACAAACCCTACAAGTAAAATTCTGGTGCATACTCAAGTTTGTGTTCCAAAAAAAAATTGGAAACCAAAAAACAGACAAACAAAAAAACCAAACACAACTCTTAGAATAAAATTCTGAGGGCGATGTAAACATGAAAACCCAACAACAGGAAGGAAAAAAATATAACATTTTGGCTAAAGAGCTTATTCAAGCTTTTTTTTTAATGAGTGGTGACAGATTTTAGACCACTACGATTGATTCCACTGATATGTTTAAGAGCGTGAAGTTTTCATTTAAATTCTTAGTCCTGACAATACGATAGAATTAGCACCTTTTAAATTGTTAAATACAAAGTCTAAAACACCCACGTTAAAAAAGGTGTGGGGAATGTCAGTCAGTCACGGCGCACACCTGAGAGAGGAGAGCACAGCCCAGGGCAGCGGCTCCCGCGGGCGGTCCTCGGGCCGGAGGCACCGGCTCACGCGCGAGCTGACCACAAGGGGACCCCGCGCACCCGCGCACACGCACGCACGCACGCACACGCACGCGGTGTTCCAGCAGGCCACCAGGGGGCTGTGCGCCACGTGACGGTTGGAAAGCCACCGTCCACACCAGAGCCCTGGCGTCGGAACTCTGCCCGGCGTCCCCTCCCCTCCAGCACCGGCCGCTGGACCCCACGCCCAGAGCTGCTGCCTGCGTCACGCGTGACACAGGACCCCACACCCCACTCTGCTGACGGGTTTCCTGAGCGGCAGGGGCGCTGGGGCTGCGCTGCAAGGGCGCCCTGGGCAGCGCCGGGCTGCAGGGACGACGGCGCCGCGGGGCGGGGCCCCCCACGCACCCCCTCCTCACCCACACACCCAGTCCCCCTCGATAGGCTCCCGCGTATCTGCCTGTACACGTCCCTTCCGTCCTCACTCGAGCTCACGTCCTAGGACTTAGAGCCCGTGTGGCCGCTGCTCCTCTGCCCCCGGCGCCCGGGCCCGTGTCGGCCCCGCGCGGCACTAGGTGCTTCCTGGGAGGCACGTGAGTGCAACCCCAGGCGGCGTCAGGACGCGCCGGGCTCTGACCACGACCCCCACAGTCCTGCTCTGCTCTGCCTGGGGCTCCCGCTCAGGTGCCAAGGGCCCGGACAGCAGGCGGCGCGGTCTGTCTGCATTAAATATCATCATCAAGGTCAACAGACCAGGAAAAACCTGAAAACTCCGTTTTTCAACTTGTTTCATCAATTCCATTCTTAACTGTAGCCTCTAAACAGGCTTTTACTTTACAACGTACGTACGTACAAACAAAATCAAGGCTTATTCAATGATATTAACACTGTAGCACTAAGAAACTCGACATTTTAAGGCAGTCTTAGTACGGGGTTAGACAGAGACTCAGGAACTTACCCTCTTTAGCCAAATATAACTCTTTAAATTTCGCTCTCTTTTGATTAAATTCTTGCTCAAGCTGCTGCTGTGCACGTAAAAATTCTGCATTAATTTTTTCCAATTCTGCTACCCGTTGCTGAAGAGAAACTGGAAAAAAAAATACTAGTTAACAAGTAATAACTTTTATTTGTAAATTAAATTACAAGAATAAGTTAGTACTCTAGCTACACATTTCTATAATGAAACAAATAGTCACACTTCTTCTGAAGATCTGATTTATTCTAGCAAATTCTAATTTTCACCTCTACTAGACTGAATACACACTATGAATGGATCCTATAAAGTGCAACAGCATATATATATGGAGAATCACATAAGGCAAATTTCCCAAAAGAGAGCTTCTTGAGTTCCTTAGTATAACTTATAGAATGTCAGTCTGTTTCTGGAGTTATTAAACACTGGATTCTTCAGGCTATGTACCCCACAAATAAACCCACTGCCAATCTTGCGGGCTCTGGTTCTTCTCGCGCATTCTGCACAAAACGTAACGGGCTCTCTGATTAAGACAGTCACAGGAGGGGCGCCTGGGTGGCTTAGTCGGTTAAGCGTCCGACTTTCACTTAGGTCATGATCTCGCGGTTCGTGGGTTCGAGCCCCGCGTCGGGCTCTGTGCTGACTGCCAGCTCAGAGCCTGGAGCCTGTTTCAGTCTGTGACTCCCTCTCTCTGACCCTCCCCTGCTCACGCTGTCTCTCTCTCTCTACTAGAAATAAATAAAACATAAAAAAAGTTAAAAAAAAAAAAAAAAAAAAAAAAAAAAAAAAAAAAAAAAAAAAAAGACAGTCACAGGAGCCTGAACTCCTCTCCCAATTTCAGGATGCTTCACTACCATCGTACTGAAATCACAATTGAAAACCCTTTCACAGAGACAGGCTACAGAACCGGACATTACGCGTGAACTCCCAATTACAGGGGGCTCCTCCGCTTTGGAGATTAACGTGGAGCACGGCGTGGCAGGGGCCGGGACACACGTGCAGCTGGCGGGCTGTGCTGTCCGGCCGCGGCCGGTTCCACAGAGCCCATCCCGAGCGGACGCACCGGTTCTCCGGGCTCCAGCACGGGGCGGGCAAGAGCACAAGCCCGCCTCCTCCTGCCCCAAGAGCCAGCCAGCCACAAAGCAATCACCCTAGTCCCCCCGGGGGACACCGACTGGGCCTAAGGCCACCACTGCCCAAACACCGAGGCCGGCAGAGGGCCCCGTTCTCCAGCACAAACCACTGCAGACGAGGAGGACCTGCTGACAACATGAGCCACCAGAATCTGAAATGACCTGCGCAGCCCCACCCCGGCCCTCAATGTAACGAGAGCGACCTCCACAGTACACAGAAAAAGACTGGGAAAAAGGTACCAACGCTTTGTCTAAGGAGTAACAGACTGGGGCTGATTAATTTCTCCCATGTGGTTTCCAAAGTTCTCTACGACTCCTCTGATAATAAAAACTACAACCAGTATCTAAAACCATCTTCAGGGGCGCCTGGGTGGCTTAGTCGGTTAAGCGTCCGACTTTCGCTCAGGTCATGATCTCGCGGCTCGTGGGTTCGAGCCCCGCGTCGGGCTCTGTGCTGACTGCCAGCTCAGAGCCTGGAGCCTGTTTCAGTCTGTGACTCCCTCTCTCTCTGACCCTCCCCTGCTCACGCTCTCTGTCTCCTAGAAATAAATAAAACATTTAAAAATAATAAAATAAAATAAAACCATCCTCAGACCAGCCTCACTACAAATCTGACCGTGCAGACGAAATCCAGGTCAGAACGGGGAAGTGACTGTTACTCTGAGCTCCACCGTCTGCCATTAAATATCAGGAGTCATTTTGAGGAGCAAGTATCTAGGGTCCTTAGGTCAAAGCGAGGAACGACATCCAGTCGTTAGAACATTTGAGGACTTCTGGAGAAAAAGAGGGACGGAGAGTCCACTGGAGAGGGACACACACAGTTCCCTCGCACTTACTCTCAGAAATCATGCAGGACACTTGTTCTCTGTGCTATTTATTTCTCTTGGTGTTTTTACTATCCAAATCCCAGTTGTTAAATAAACAAGTTCTGCACTTAACTGTAATATTACTGGTAGCTACTGATGACTGCATGGGGTCAGGAAGGGCTCTGGGGAATCCAGAAAAAAAGGAAAAACAAGATCCTCTGTTCTTCCTTTTCCCGAACTACCCGATCCCCCCCTACCTTCCACCAAAGCACGCACACAAATGGCCGGACCTTTCAACGTTACATTTAGGAACTGAAGCTAACGAATCGATAAGAACTAAAATGCAGCCTATAACGGTGCAGCCACACTTCGTGCGCCTCCACCGCTCCCGCCTGCCCCGCGCCGAGTTCTGGCCGCAGTCCGCTCCCACGGGCCCGGCCGCCCCTGTGCGGGTTCGGGTCGCTTTCAAGTTCAGGGATCATGGTCCCTTGGAGGTCATACCAACTGCCTTATTATCATTTCCTGTTTTAATTAAAACACTTTAAATCCACCTCAAGTACTTCTAACATCCAGCAAGTCTACAACAAAGAAAAAGGCCAAAACAATATCTTTTCCTTAAAACGTGATGGCCTCTGCTGCGGGCCCTGGGACCCAGCTCGGCCTGCACAAGACGGCGGCAGGGGAGCGCACACAAGCCACGACCTCCTGCACGGGCAGCCAACCACACATGAAGCAGAAACGAGCTCTCACCACACAAAAGATGGCACAGTTTTCCTAACAAGGTCACCAGCAGGGTCACAATAACCAGCTAACAGCTCATGTTAAAAGGGCTTAGCCGAGCGTTTACAAAGAAATTGATAAATGTAAGCTGTAATTATTAAACTAGCGGTATTTATCTAATGAAGACGGGAAACAGGCAGAGTGATGAAGTGATGCGTATGAGGCCACGAAAGTCACTCCCAACCTCATGACCCTGACTCAGTTCCCACACTCAGATGCCCAGCTCATGGCCTTCCCTGTGACCATGAATCTGCCTTCACAGCATCATGAACAAAATCAGTAGGAATGCCAGGCTTCCACAACATGAAGCCTTCTGTAACTTAGCAGCGGAGAGCTATTAGCGTACCGGCCTTCTTCAGCCACTGCACACTTTCTGCACGTTGTTACCTTCACTTGGGTAATAAGGAGGAGGGCGCTCACTGGCTCCGTGGGTAGCGTGAGACTCCTGACCTCGGGGCTGTGAGTTCAAGCCCCAAGATGAGTGTAGATGCTACTTAAAAATAAAATCTTTTGGGGGGTCTTGGGGGCTCAGTCGGTTGAGTGTCCAACTTCGGCTCAGGACATGATCTGGCAGTTTATGGGTTCAGGCCCTACGTCGGGCTCTGCTGACAGCTCAGAGCCTGGAGCCTGTTTCAGATTCTGTCTCCCTCTCTCTCTGATCCTCCCCTGCTCACGCTGTCTCTCTCTCAGAAGTAAATAAAAAACGAAAAAAAATCTTTTAAAAAAAAGGAAAAGGGGAAAACTATCTCATGCAATGGCTACTTGTAATGCTTGACACCCAAAGGGAAAAGTTATTGTACCAATTACTCAAAATATCTGAAATAAGCAACCCTATGGAAAGAAAGGAAAAAGAAAAAAAATCTGGTAAATAAACTGGAACACTCAGTGCTTCTTGTACTTCTTCCCCAATCTGGACATGAATAGAAGAACATGTAATAACCAAAAAATATTTTTAGGTCTGGAGCTGTGTCCCACTATCATGTTCTAACACCGTGTTAAGTCTGGTGAGACACAGCAACAGCAGAAACCAGTCTACGTCAAATAGTACTACAACCAGAATCTTTCTGTGTAAAGATGTTCAAGATCCAAGAAAACACCGATTTCAAGAAAAAAAAAAAAAAAAAAGAACTTCAGTAGAACAAAAGATCAAACACTTTCTGTAATTCAGAAGTATTAATTTGTTTTTTTAATGAATTTAAATTTTTTTAAATTTTTTTCAATATCTTTATTTTATTTTGAGAGACAGAGACAGAAAGCGGGCAGGGGAGGGTAAGAGAGAGGAGACACAGAATCTGAAGCAGGCTCCAGGCTCTGAGCCTTCAGCACAGAGCCCGACACGGGGCTCGAACCCACGGACTACGAGATCATGACCTGAGCCAAAGTCAGATGCTTAACCGACTGAGCCACCCAGGCGCCGTGCAGAAGTTTTAATTTGTGCATCACTGGGTAAAATGAAAGTATTAAGTATGGTAGGAGTGTCCATCCAGTGGAATAATGCCAAGTCAGAAAAATTATACTAAATAAAAAGGACAAACTATAAAATTATACAACACAACTATGCAAAAATCACAGGGGAAAAAATACTGGAAAGACTATGTCAATTACATTCAGAGTAGTTGCCCCTCTAATCAAAGGGTAATTACAATTATAAATTATGCTGATTACATTGATTTAAATTAAAAGATAATGAAGTGCTTCCTCTTTTTTTTAATTTTAATGATCACGACTTCATCTTACCGCTATATTCCAATATCTCTGCTCATAAAAAGTGTACAAAATTTACTTCTGTGATCTTAAAATGTTAACACACTAAATAATCATTTTTAAACCTACACTTCGATTTTCCCAGGACAAATAATTTGCTACAATAGATAAATTTCCTAAAAAGCAAAACGTCTTGGTTTCGGTTTCAGAAGTGGCCTTCCAGGTAGCAAACTGCCTATTTCTGCTCTAAAAACTCACTATGTCCAACTTCTTTTAGGAATTACTAAAAATGATTATTATCACACTGCATCTACCCACGGAACTCTGCTAAACTTGTTTAGGCCAATGTTTCAGTAACCCCTCCCCCCCCACCTCCCAGGGCAGAGGAAACGTGGGGTGGGTGGGGCCAACCAGGAATCTAGGCTTCTGCACGGGTCACTGCGCCAAGGCCACCAAGCATCCCGCGGTGCGGGCGCAAACGGGGCGGCACGTGGTAGTCACGTCACCACAGGGCTGGCTGACTACTTGTAAAAACCTGCATCCTTCTAACCTTGGCCATATACTCAGATAAATCACTTCCAAACAAAGTAACATCTGGTTAAGAAGTCTGCGCAGAACACTGGGGCGCCTGGGGGGCTCAGTTGGCTGAGCGTCCGACTTCAGCTCAGGTCATGATCTCACGGTCCATGGG